CCCACTGCAGAAAGAAGGGACGCCCAGATAGAAGCGCACTCCTTGGCCCCTGCAACCTGTGACCCCTCAGCCGGGTCTCCAGCATGTGTGCAGTGGGCTTTCCGGCCTCCAGTCTGGCAGCTCGGGCCAGCGCACTGATGTACATCTGCCGGAGAAGGAGCATGGACTCGTCGTCCAGTCTCGCCTGATCCTGAGGCGAAAGGTGCGGCAGCCCCCAAATGTGGTCTCCCCACCTGCCACGAACGGGGGGCGGGGCCCCCGGTTTTGGGATAAGACGCAGCACCGACCACGTCTTGCAGTTGGGTCCCCAATCACTGCTTGGATACGACCTTGTGATGCTGCTTGGCAAAGGTCCCCGTACAGCGAGGGACCCAGGATGTTGTGTCGTTCCCCCTGAGAGCGCAGGATGTCAATGCTCACAATGTGACCCTGCCCTGGAAACTGACTGTGCCAGCATGAGTCAATAGAGGTAGGGTCGTCCTTGCCCGAGTAAAGAAAGAGAATGAATTCCCCTGATGGTAACACTGTAGACTCTGGGGGATCCCATCGGAGTCTGTCCCGGAGTCTGTCCGGGATCATATCCCACCAATAGGCCTGCCGTGGCTGTGTTGAACCCTGACGGGGCTATGAATGGTTCTACGGGGAAGACATCGGATCCCGCTACCCCCCGCCCTCCGATGCCACCCTGATGCATGCCGAACGTCAGGCCTGGCGCAAAGTGCAAGAACACATGCATGAGGGGAACTCGGCCAAGGAGGCGTTGGCCAAGGTTCGGGCCGACCACCTCTTCTGGAGCCGCACGGTCTATGAGCGCATCGGCAGGGACCGCGAGTCTAAGGGCAAAGGCATGGGCGGCAAGTCCAAGGGCAAGTCCAAGACCTCTTGGCAGGCGCCCAGGAAGCAGCACGCTCCTGCCAAGCCTCAGATGGACAAGGGCAAGACCAGCAAGGGCACAACGAAAGGCGGCCAGTCCTGGCCGGCGAACTGGGCTGTGACCAGCCCCAAGGGCACGCCCTACTGCCAGAATTTCCACCTCCGGAACAGCTGCAAGGGCAAGTGCAGCAGGTCCCACAACTGCCCGGTCACGCACAATGGCTGGATCTGCGATGGGGACCATTCCCCCAGCAAGTGCCCTGGCCGCAAGTGACTCAAGGCGACCCCGGGTGCCGTGGGCCCCGATAGGGCCCCTCCAAGCTCGCAGAGCACGCCGGGACAGCAGGCGGCTCCCCGGTCGGACCGCGGGGGCCCGAGGAAGGCAACTCCCGCCTTCCTCCGACAGCCAGACAATTGGTGTCACAGTGCAGGCCCTCCCCCCACTCCACATGCTCGGGGGCCCCCCACCATTGCGGAACCCAGCATCATCAAGCCTGGCCCAGTGGAATTTGTCCCCTCTTCGGGGTTGAGTGATGGGGTGGCAGCGCCCCCCCGGAAAAAGAAGGAATCCAGGGCCTCCTTGTCCAAGTCAAACTGACTGAACTGGTGGAAGGCAAACATGCACATGAGCAGGGTGTTCCGGAAAACCATGTGCATGCGCTCAAGCTGGGATCGGTTGGTTGGGTTGGAGCGTTCTTCCTCCTCCTCTTCTTTGTCCCAACCGTCCACAGTGACCTTGCGCCTGATAGAATGGGGACGTTCCCCAAAGTCTGGCGCCGCAGAGACCAAGTGTCACTGCGATGTGGCCAATCTCCCCCTTGGCACAAAAACGAAACTGGCGTTTCAGAAGCTGGTCACTGCCCTGGAGGGCCAGCTTGGGCTTGGGCAGGTGGGTGCGCTCCACCCAGCCCAGCTCAAGTTGTTGCCGGTCACAGGCCGCGTCCAGGTGGGGCACCCTTGATGTCCTGGCCCACCGGCCACGAGAGCAGGTCCGGCACGTTGAGCCCCCTGGGCGACCACGCAGCTCCATGCCCGGGTGCCGTGGGCCTCGAATGGACGGACCTCGTGGACCCAGGGGTGACGCCAGCGACTTGGCGCTGGCCCACCTCAGCCGATGACACCCTCCTCCTCAAGGCGGATGTTACTAAGGCGCATCGCCGCATCAAGGTGCTGTGCACGGACTGTCTGTTCCAGGTGGCCCGCATTGGGCCCCGCTGGTGGGTGAACAAGGTGGGCACCTACGGCATGGCCAGCGCCCAACTTTACTGCGGCGTTGCTACGCCTGCTCTACATGCTCTTTCCCCAGGTGGACTGGGGCCTGGTCTTTGTCGATGACTTCTGTTGGTTGCTGAGGAGAAGCTCCCCGGAGTTGGCCACTGCACTACTGGCCACTCTCCTCGCCTTAGGGACTCCGCTGTCCTGGAAAAAGACCGTAGCAGCCCCGGTCAATACCTGGCTGGGGTTTGTAGTGGACCCATCGGGTCCCTTCGTCGTCATGGCCAAGCAGAAGTTCGACTTGGTTATGGACATCTTGCAGAGACTCCAATTGGGCGAGACTTTCTCCGCCAAGGCGGTGGAAAAGGCGCTGGGTCAATCTCGGCGTGCCCCATGGCCCGAGCCTTTCTCCAGCCTTTTTGGGCTTGGAAGGAGGCGGTTGTCACTGGGAAGCCTCCCAAGCTGGTCCGGGCCTTGGCGCTTCTTCTGGAGACCCTCTTTAAGGACAGGCTCCCCATTCCCTCGCCCTTTACCCCAGCAAGCCCGTGGTATGGCGCTTCGGATGCTAGCGCCAGCTGTGGCGCAGACCATGCCTGGGTTGGCGGCTGGTGCTCCTGCCACCCAGACCCTTCCAAGTCAGATGTGTGGTGGTTCCAGTACAAGGTTACCAAGCGGCCTTTCCCCACGGGGATCCTCAGCGCTGCATAGCGGCTTGGAGCTGCTGGGGCTGCTCCTACTGATCGACCTGGTCCACCACTGCTGCGGTGACCTACGAGGCAGACGCCTGAGGGTCGCTAGTGATAACCAGGGTAATGTTTTTTCCCTACTGGACGGCTCGGCACGTAAAACGCCGTCAGCCTTCCTGCTTATGGAGATTGTAGCAAAGCTACAGGCGCTTGGGGGGACGCTTTTTTTCCCACTCATGTTAGGCGGGAGTTCAACGAGTGGGCAGATGAGCTCACTCATCCGTCTCCCGACTTTGATCCTTCTCGGCAGGTACTGGTTGAGCCTCGCTGGCTTCTGTTGCCTGCAATTCTCTCTTTGGTCTACCCACCCATGGCACCGTGATGGGCGCCCGGTGGGTTGGGCACATCCTCCAGTTTTGGGGTGTGGGGGCCGGCGTGAGTTCTGGCCCCACACACCATGCATCAGTTCAGCAGACCTGGAGGGCTGCTGCCCAAACTGGCACCTAACCTCTCACTCTCGACAAAAAGGGGGCTGCTTGCTGTACCCTGTTTGTCCCCCCTCTTCCGTAGCCCCAAGGAAGCCTTTGGGAACACTGGTTGGTTGATTGGTTGCGTGCTTGTGTGGTTGTTGTTGTTGCTGCTGCTGCTGTTGTTGCTGCTGCTGCTGCTGCTGCTGTTGTTGTTGTTGTTGTTGTTGTTGTTGTTGTTGTTGTTGTTGTTGTTGTTGTTGTTGTTGTTGTTGTTGTTGTTGGTGTTGGTGTTGGTGTTGGTGTTGGTGTTGGTGTTGGTGTTGGTGTTGGTGTTGGTGTTGGTGTTGGTGTTGTTGTTGTTGTTGTTGTTGTTGTTGTTGTTGTTGTTGTTGTTGTTGTTGTTGTTGTTGTTGTTGTTGTTGTTGTTGTTGTTGTTGATGTTGTTGTTGTTGTTGTTGTTGTTGTTGTTGTTGTTGTTGTTGTTGTTGTTGTTGTTGTTGTTGTTGTTGTTGTTGTTGTTGTTGGGTGTTGGTTGTTGGTTGTTGGGTTGTTGTTGTTGTTGT